AGAAACTACAGGATAAAACCACCTGATTTCTTTAAAAAAACATTGTAAGGAGAGCAAAAAGGAAGAAGGAACCTATTGATTAAAGTAAAGAAGAGAGACACCTCAACCAATAACAATACATAGATAGGCCTTATTGAGATCCTAATCAATTGTATAAGATTTTATAAGACAACCAAGGAAATTTGGATGACTGTGTATCTGATGATTACCAACAAAATTTTGTTATAATGGTATGTGCTTTTTTTTAAGGCTATTCAAGCGAAACAGTGGGACTGGAGAAGGAACAAAGAAATCTGTAACTGGTTGTAATCCATTAGCTGTAGAGTATGTTTTAAGAGTCTATCTTTTAGAGATACATATTGAAGTATTTAGAGGTAAAATGACATGTCAGAATCTGCTTCAAAATAAATCTATGTTGAGAATGGGGGGGGTGGAATGGGTGGGCGTATACATGACACAAGTTCAGTTATAAGTTGGTAATGGTTAAAATCGGGTAATGAACTCACTGATTCCATTATCCTCTCTTTTAAATATATCTGAAATTTCCCATAATAATAAATTTTTAAATATTGACCTGGAAAACATTAGAAAATAAATAGAACCTTCCTTCTATAAAAATGTGGATATCTTATTAAAATTTCCAGGATAACTCAGATATTTCTTTTTCTTTTAAGATTTTTTACTTCCTTTCCTTTAAAGATTTTAATAGTATTTATGAAAACATTATATTTCTTCTTTGTAAAAAAAAGAAAGTAAAAATTTGGCCCTACTCTCTTTACTCACGTAACATCTTTTAACATTTAAAAATAAATATTAATAAAAATATAAGGCCAGAAAATTATAACTATAGAAAGTACAAAATGAAAAGTAAAAGCTTACATCTCCTCACTCTTATTCCCAAAAGGTAGCCTGTGACCAACAACCAGTATTTAGTTTCTTGTGCTTTATTCCAGGAAACAACCAAGGGAAATGCAGGAGACAGACACAACATGTATGTGCACACTTGAGCGCATGTATGTACAACATATACATATAAAACGCAACAAGAATCACAATGCTCTCCATCTTTTTTCACTTAATACAGTATATATTAACATGTCAATCAACCTCATTTTTTTAATGGCATACTGTGTTCTATAGTATGGTTATATTAAAATTTATTCTATTGACAAAAAATGTTCCATTTTTTTATTATTGCAAACAATGCTGATAAATAGCCTCTAGGTTCCTGCCCGAAAAATCTGAATTATTTAGGATAACCAAGATTATAGAAAATTTACCTCACAAGAATAAAATTTTTCCAGGCCCATGCACCAAACTAGTATGTGTAACAGCCAAAATTTCTACTTTTTTTTTTTTTGAGACAGGGTCTCACTTGGTTGCCCAGGCTAGAGTGCAGTGGTGTTATCACAACTCACTGCAACCACAAACTCCTGGGTTCAAGCGATCCTCCTGCCTCAGCCTCCTCAGTCGTTGAGACTACAGATGCACAATACCACACCTGGCTAATTTTTTCTATTTTTTGTAGAGACAGGGTTTTTCTATGTTGGCCTCAAGCAATCCTTCTACCTCAGCTTCCCAAAGTGCTAGGATTACAAGCATAAGCTACTATGGCCCAAAATTTCTACTTTAAAAAAAATGGCTATATTATTATGGGGAAAGAGCTGTAGAATGTGGCAAACATTTTGTATGCTTGTTTAACATATATGCAATTAAAATAGAATGGTAATCCTATCTTATATACCTTAATATATAACCGTGAGAGTAAAAAACATGTGTAAAATCTTCTTAGCACTACCCAAATTATGACAACGAAAATGCTAGATGCAATTACGAATAGTGGCTAATCCTTCAGCCACACAAGAAATTTTGATAATGATTTCCCAAAGTTGAAAAGTAAATCTGATAATGATTTTTTTTAATCTAACTGAACCTTAGTTCTTAAATTATATTCCTTTAAAAAAGAGAAATCCACAAAATGTCCCACCTTCATGTTCGTCCTCCT